GATTTAATCTTTTAAAATATTTTAGCAATTGAGATTAAATGTATAGATGAATTGGATATAGAGAATCCTTATTTAACGGTATAATAAAATATCATCATGTATAAGATTCAGTTTGTGTAGGACATATGATATAGGAAGTTTAAAGAAATAATAAGTCATTCCTATTATGTGATAACTTAATATCATATTTATCATAGTTATTTATGGAATGTTTGATGTACTTCCTTAATTGTTACATCAATTATTGAATTGTGTGGTTTAATGCACCGGTATGGGACGGTGGCATTCTAGGGATGGATTAACTTATCAGTTAAGTCCTACTTATATTTAAGTCAGGTCAGCTGAACAAGTTGAATGACTTATGGAGGATTAATTTATTATATAAGGGAATGGATTCACTAAAATGTTAAGTCCTACTTATATTCAAGTCAGGCCAGCTGAACAAGTTGAATGACTTATGGAGGATTAATTTATATTGGATAGGATGGTTACTAGATTTTATATATATAAGTATGGTGCCATGATATGAGCTTGAGTCTCAGGATCAATTGTTAGGGCGCGTATATCGCCAGGGATGTGTAGCTAGATATAGTGTAGTTGTGTACCCTGGTAGGTCTAGGTACTCATGCCCACTATATGTGCGTTTTGCATGTTGCCTACTATTCAGGTTGAGACAACCCTATACTCTAGTGAGGTTCCTTTAGTGTGTATATATATATATACGGACTACTAGTTACTGTTGGATTGACTAGGATGTATACGTGTATCGGAAATCTGCTTGGACTGTAGTAGAGTAGAACTTGTTTGTGGGCCTGACCCATCATTATTTTTCAGGTGTTCGTCACGAGTAGAGGTTGTTCTTGCTGAGCGGGGATCAGTCTGCTTCATTCTTCCGATGCTACATAGGAGTTCCTTTATGATTCAGTTTCCTGTTTCAGATTACTGTCATTTGTTTAGTTTGGATTTTCTAGGGGTCCACACAATATGGATTCCCGAGTTGTATTTTAGAGGATCAGTTATATCAGAAGAGTTTATTAATTAATGGAAATATATTATGAGGTTTATTATTATATTATCATTTTAGTTTCTTGTCAGCATTTTATTTATTCTTCTTTATTCTTTTGTACTCTGTGTTCGTTTATTATCAATTTGTTTTGATATCCTCGGGTATTCGGGCGTGGGCCTGGACAACCCGCATTCGGAAATTCGGGGGTATCACACAACTCTCTCTCCCATGGATGGTAATTCAATACGCGTGTGAAGTTATAATTAAAGTCGGAAGCAAAGTATTCATCACCGGACCAACATGGGTTTCAATTGAAATCTCACTCTTCATCCTTTTCTGAATTTGGAAGGAAGCAATGGAAACATACCAAGAATTTGTTCATGCAAGGATTTAATCAAAATACCTGCAAAGCCACAAAAAAAAAAAAAAATGCCGCAGTGGACAAGAAGATTCCACAAATCAAAGGTGATCGGAATCAATAACTAATGAAATTAATGCTAAAGGCCCATGATATGAATCATATTTATAGCCCAACCAATCCTATTTGTGATAGGATTTTCAAACTCCAATTTGATTCGGATACAATGAAAGCATGATTTAGCTTGGATGCGTGAAAAAAAAATAAAAATAAAAATAAATAAAAAGAACCGTGAAAAAAAAAAAGGAAGAAAGAAAAAAAAAGGGAGAAAAAAAAAAAAAAGAGGATGCGTAAAAAAAGGGGGGGGGGGGGGGGGAGAAGAAAAAAAAGAGGATGGGTGAAAAAAAAAAAAAAAAAAAAGAAGAGAAAAGACATATTGATTGTTTGCTCAGGACAAGCGAAGTAATTTAGAGGCTGCAATCTAACAATTATTATGAGGCTTTGGAATTGATGTCTAACCCTATAACATGGATAGGTATATATAGACAATAAGATATCTTCTATTTGTACTGGAATTTATATAATTCAGTTCAAATAGGAAAGTAAAATTCTAATCCAAAGTTGGATAGAAAAGGGAAGGAGGAAATCTTATCATTCAAAGTTAGATAGGAAAAGCCTTTTACAGTTTCAAGTTGGATACTTCAAGTCCCACTTGAAAAAGGAGACAAGTCCTTTCAAACATGGGACTCGAAGTGGGGGCAATTTGTAGACACTAAAATTTTAATATACTTTTGTTTTGACAAATTGACTCATTAAGTATGGGTGAATGTTTAATTAAGTTATTTAATTGGCCAAACTTGGTCCATTTAAATTATTTAATTAGCCCAGCCCAAATGGTGAAATAAAAAGATAATTATTCCTAATAAAATATATTTGGAATAATTATTTTTAAGGAAAATTATCATAATATACCCAGCCCGGCCCAGTTATAATTTTATCCTTATCAGGAGAGAACACGTGTCATCATCCTATGGATTCAAGAAGCCTATAAATAGAGGCCTGGAGGAAGAAGGAAGGGACAAAAAATCAGAATTCAAAAGTCCAGAAATTCAGAGACTCAAAAATCCAGAGGGTCTAGAAATTCAGACATAAATTCAGAGACTCAGAAATTCAAAATTCAAAAGAGAAATTCAGAATTCAAACCCAAAAGCGAAGAACAACAAGCACATCAAATCGTACTGTTCTTCATCCAAATTCCACAATGATCACAACAAACACATCAAATCGTGTCGTTCTTCATCCACATTCCACGGTGATTCAAGATTAAGCTCGTGCAACCCTTGGATCTAACCAACCACAAAAAGGAGATCGAATCAGAGGACCTTATTTTTTGGAATATTATTACAAAGGATTGTACTCCATTTTTTTTTTTTTTACATTAATAAAATATTATATTTTGCTCCATATTTTGTTCTTATTTGTAGACTACAAAATTTGTGTGTACAACATCAACAAAAAAAAATTCACTTATTTATTGGTACTTAAAATTATAGGGGTAAATTTGGTGTCTTTAATTGATTTCTTTTCACTTTCATACTATCCAAAATAACAAATTAATATTTTTTTACAATTTTTTTGAATAAATTTTCATTCTAACTAAATGCATGCTAGAAAATAATTTTTTTTTCATTCACTTAACTTTTCTTTCATTTTCCATTTGTTTTCTTTACTTGTTTATTTCCATCTAACAAATTAAGGACACAAACACATGTACATATATAAAATGAGAGATGTGGGTTAAGATGGTAATAAAGGCTAATAAAATGGCTTAAAAAGGTAGTTTTGACTTTAAATGATTGTATTTTTAATGTTTTTTAAAAGAAAAATAATAAGAGAACCGAACCAAACAACTGAATAAAAGGTCGAACTTAACGTGACTCAGCTATGTCCTACCTCTTCCGTTCCCTCTCCTCTCTTCTCTAATTCTGGATTTTTCTTTTGTATTCAATTTTATCTTTGATTTTGGTTTTGTCTCTCTTTTTGATTTCGCAAAATTGAAGATAAAATAAAAATAAAAAAATCATGTTTTGCAAATACAGAAGCACAAAACCAAAACAGAACAAAAAAGAAAAAGAAAATAAAAGCTACAACTGTTGTTTCTCTCCTTCAGATTTTGTATCATAAAAATTAAACAGAAACTTTGAGAAGATTCATCGCTTTTCTTCTCTGTTTTTTTTTTTTTCTTTTTTTTTCGTAAGAGATTAATGTGTTTTGTAATGGCAACTCTTGTGTGGATATTTACTTACCAAAAAAAAAAAAAAAAATCTTCTGCATATTTTTCATCTGAGATTGGAAAGATTTATGAATAGAGAAAAGTAGATGATCTTGACAAAGGAGCGAAGATAAAAAATTTTGGATATTGTCTCTAGAATACTTTGAATATGTGTATATCAAGAGAAATGATGTATAAAAAGAATTGGTGAAGAACCATACATAGAGAGGAGGAGAGAGAAACGGAGAGGAAGAGAGAGAAAAAGGAAAAATTGGGAGAGAAAAGATCGAGGATAAGGAGTTAGGTAATGAAATTATTTGACGTAGATAAAGCCACGTAAGATTCGGTATTTATTTCGATAAAAACCTTGGATTTCTTTATCACTGCTCTAATCAGACCATCAATCCAATCTCTTTATGATATATATACTTTTAAACATAGCGTGTGCAATTTTTTGGAATATGATTGATTTGATTTAACCATAGTGTGTACAATTTTTTAGAATATGATTTTAAACTGACTGTAAAAGGGAAGACAAGATCCACAAATATATTAGATTTGGATATCATTCCTAAGAAAGAAAAGATAGTGTATTTTCTTCATTTTGTTTGGTTGAATAGAAGAAAATAAGCTCATAATTTATCATGTTTATTGGAAAAAGAAAGTTTTAATTATTTTTACCATTATATCCAATAATATTTATAATATTGTAATTTATAAAGGGCAGTACGGTAATTTAAAACATGTATAATTTACGATATTATTTAATTTAAAATTTCTATAATAGTCCTTTACCCATTTTTGAGTGAATGAAAATTTATAAAGAAAAAAAGATGATCCATTCTTCCTATTCTCATGTATGTCCTTGTATTCATTCCTTCCTTCAATCCTCCTTATTTTTTATCTACACCTCTTCCTTCCTTCCTTCCTACCAGGATAAGGGTGAAAATATTGTGGAGATACTTCTACCAAAAAAATATTTAGGAGATATTGAAGTAAATGTGCAGTAATCAATATACTATTGTGGACCCAACTTATTTGACACCTAAGCGACACATGGATAACAATGTAAATGGTAAGAAAGGCCAATAAAAGGGTAGTTTTGACTCTAAAAAGAATATATTTTTAATGTTCTTTAAAAATAGAAACAAGTAGTAATTAATGAACGTTGAAACAATTCATAAGAAAAATGCCTGGCACTCTATAATTAAACCAAATCCAAACGGTTGGATCCAGCTCAGTTTACCGGTTCTAAAAGTTATGTGCACCACCACCTTAATTGAATGAATAAATTATAAATATCAAGGAAACAAGGAAAATGACTGAAAAATAAAATAAAATAAAATAAAAATGAGCAATGCATATAGCAGAAAGGGACTAAAAAGAAATCATATTTCAATTAAAAATTTCCCCCCAATATCTTCACCATTACAATTGCATCGCTATACCCCCATCCACTGTGAAAGAGAAAAAACGCCATTTCTCTTTTATACAAAATACCACAGAATTAAACTCGTAAACCCTACCCCCCACCATTTTTCCAGTTTCTTATTCATGTACATTGCAAGACAAGGGAATATAACCAACTTCCAAAAAAGAAAAAAAAGAAAAAACACCCAATCCTCTTTTACCTCCATCTCTTGTCACCACTCCTTTCGCGTAACACCACAAAAAGACAACAAAATGTTACCAGGAAAAATGAGGCACTGAGATGGAAACTTTGAAGATATTTTCAAGATAATCCTAATAATAACCTTGTTGCTGCAGAGCTGTTGGAAATCATCGAGCTGGCCTGGCCGATGGTTGAGGTGATGGACTGCCAAAGACCATTGTCTGAGATCGGGTAACCATGTCGACCATTGAGGGGGTCTGGTAAGCTTGCAAGAGGCTGGTACTATCCAAGGAATCACCTCGTGCAGTCGCTCTCTGCCATGAGTGTGAGCTCAATCCTGACAGAACATAAGCCCTTCCAGATGACTCGTAAACACGGCGGTTTGCCATCCTCTCTTGCATTTCCCTTAATTCAGCACCTAATGCAACACACAACTTGTCTCCAACTTGCGCTGATACGGTTTCTGACAATACTTTATGACAGAACTCGAGAACAGACACTGCACCAGCTAGATCACCCTGTTCAGCAGCAGCTCTTGCTTCCGCCATTGCCTCTGCTGCTCGAACTCTGTTTCGCTGTCTGTCCACTTCCATTGACACTGATGGCTGTCCAATTATTTCAGGCCTTTGAACTTTTACTTCATTGGTTTCTTCCGAGGTCACCAATTCTTTTGTGATGGGGTTTCTGTAAACACATCTCACCTTTAGCAACAACATCTCATTACTGGACCCGTCAACTGGAATGTCAATGGTCACCAAAAAATCTCTCTCTTCCTCAGCATACAAATCTCCAACATGGATAAAGCCCATTCTTGCATCAGACAGGACACTGGTTTTGTAACTTCCTGCTTTTATTGAACCAAGCTGCAGCTTTGGGTGGACACATTCAACTTTCACCTGCATTTCCTGCACTACGACACTTAATAGCCCTCCAATACACTGTGCAAATGCATCCTGAATAACATTCTCAGCCTCTATAAAAGAAAATGTTCCCCCAGAAGTTTCAGATATTGAGTGCATTGAAGCAGCATCATGGTCCGCACCAAACCCAAATGCATGTACTGGAATTTGGAGGCCCGCACCACCATTGCGTTGAATGGACAATGGGCGGTAATCATTATGCGAATGGGTCCCACCATGACTACCGATAGTGTATGTATCCTGCCCATCGGATAACAGTATGATACTGCTAACTGGGTTCTTCCATCTGCGGTCTACCATCACTTTAGCACCCTTCCTTAGGCCCTCAGAAATGTTAGTCCCACCATTTGAGATCAGGTCATTAACGGCCTGCAATGCTTCCTGCCTTCCAGTATCAGACATTCGCCGAAGGGGAAAGAGACGACGAGCTGTAGAGGAGAAGGAAATGACTGAAAGCCTGTCAGAAGGGCCAAGGTTCTGTATAACAAATCCCATGGCTCGTTTCAGCAAAGCAAGCTTAGTACCAATCATGCTGCCACTGATATCAAGCACCGCGACAAGGTCAACCGGAGCACGAGAATTTTGAGATGATGATGGAAAGTTCTGGTTTATTCCAGAATTCTGTCTACTGCTTGTAAGAGGAGCTTTGAGATGGATTAAAACAGTGAAATTATGATGAGATATCGACCTTGAAACAGCAGAAACTTCTGGGTATGTTTTGACCTCTATTGCTCCAGTAGAATGGTCATTAATAACATTTTTAGGGGATGAGCATTTTTCAGAGATCTCAGGGTGATTTTCCACAGGTTCATCATCATCGAAAACACTTGGCTCAGGGGCATGAAATAATGAAACATACTGATTGGCATCTGCACGAGGGGAAGGGAGCCGTCGTAAAATAGTCATCCCAGAATCATCTTGGGGCCATGCTACTGGGTTTATTCTTGCCCTTCCATGAGAGAGATCAGAACAAGGACTCTGGAAGGGGATTTCCTTCCATTTTGCCCTGCAAATGGGGCAAATTTTGTTTCCATGTTTTACATTAGAGGTAATGCAATGGAAGTGGAATGAGTGGGAGCATTCTGCAGTGAAAATAGCATTGCCCTGGCCTGATTTCATGGTGGTCAGGCATATTGCACAAGTCCTCTGAAATTAGAAAGAAATGCAGGTAAAAAGCGATCCCATATACACAGCAACAGAACAACAAACTTTCAGGAATCAAAATCTTAGAAGTGAAAATAAAAAGGAAACATATTTAACATTACAGAAATGATCTCTTGCTCAACAGTGAGCAAGAAATTTATCCACACCAAGTATGGTGATCGTTGGATATGATTGTTATGTTTTTTGGTAATTACCTTTTTCACACTTAAATCATAGCTAACGGTCTCCATGCTTGGTGTGGAGAAAGTTTCTTACTCACGGGTGCACAAGTGATCATTACTCTTTAACATTATATCAACATCAGTTCCACCTATCCGACCAAACCACGAAACAACCTGATTTTCTGAACTACAATCACATGATTCCTTTCTCATAATCTCAACTACAGTCATCAAAGGAATAAGATATTCTGATGTCGATCTGAACAGCTCATTTTAGTTTGTCAAACACCTAAAAAAAGAAGATAACTCTACAACAGTGACAGATAAATGGTGCCTGAGTTTCCCGGTTTATTCCCTAAATTAACTCATTTCAATTCTAATCATGTCAAATGACTACATATTTTGGTTTATTCACTTTTAATTATTAAAATTTGCTAAGTAATTATTATCAACATCCACAGCTACTTAAAGAACAAATAAGTATTGGATTAACAATGCTATATAAGCCGGGTCAACATAATCCGACTTTCTCATAAGGGGGTGGTGGGTCCCACCACACATGGTGCGCCCACCATCCTCTTGAAATTGTCAGCTCATGCCAACTCAGCCTAAGAATCATTTTTCTTATTGGATTGGATTCCTATCAAAACCAACAAGATTCATCAAGTTTATTGCTTACTGAACAGGACAAGTGACCTTGGAAGTTAGTGTGAAGTTTGAACTTTTACATTTTTATCATAAATTAAAAGCACTATCAGATTATCACATGAAACTCAGAGAGGTTACTGTAAAATTGTCTCGATTGAATGGACATGAAATCTCAAAGATCCTGTTGTCTTAAAGTCACATTATTGAGACTGGTGCATAAATAGATGAAATGAATGAAACTTATCTGCACTATAATTTCTTGCCTATAGTAAGATATAAGTAATTATACATTCAAAACTGTATAATCACTAGTCACATTAATTTATAAACCAATAAAAGTCAAAGTTAGCTAGTCAAAGCACAGAAGAGAATATACTGGTTAATTATGAACAAACAAGGAGCAACTTTTTAAAAGAAAGGGTAATCAAGCAATTCTCAAATAAATGATGGAGCTTTGAAGACAACGAAAATAGGGAAAAGATTTAAAGCCCATCTATCAAAAGAAGGAGACATCATTACTTGCTGTAATATTTTTATTCTTTTTCAACTCCCCTCTTACTTTGATGAGGGTTATTAGAAGAAAGCACCCAATCAACGGTCTACAGGCTTTTTTAAGATTATCATCAAAAGAGGTGTGTGAGTAGAGAGAGTACACCTTTGATGGGTTTGTGTCTTTGCGCCTGTGTGATGCTGACCAGGCAAAGCACTTTCCCTTCAAGAAGGTGAAGATTGAGGAAACAGGAAAGAGTACACTGTAGTTTTCCTTTTCTGATACACCCAAAAGACTATGGTCCTTAAAAGGACTAGTACACTTTATCCCCACAAGGCAGCATAGGGAGTTGAAAAATACATGACAACACAAACACGCATCTCCACGATTGATATATATACAGTATATATATATATATATATTATCATCATCATTATCAAACATTCAGACCCCTTACGCCCCGAGCCCACATGAATGAAAGAGAGCCTAAAAGTAAGCTTAGCATAGCAAATAAAAGTAGCTAGCCACAGTAATCACCAACTATATGCACTGTATACACATTCAGAATCTATGATTCAAGTAGGGAAAAAAAAAAAAAAAAACAAACAAACAAACAAAAGAAAAAACAATTAACAGCAATCATCTTTGACTTATCTCTAGAGATGAAAAATCAAAATTACTAACATTCTAATGGGAAAAACAAAAAATTACATTCGAGTCCAGAATCATTAATTAACCGTATATTTCTTCAGAATAGAAAAAAAATTATATTTATATACTCCGTATTATACGGATATTTTGGATGTAAACATATATCTGAAGCTATATACGAAGAGAAATTGCGAACCTGCGATGATTTGACGCTGTATTTCGACAACCGGAGACCAGACGAGGACGGCGTCGGCGTATTTGGCATTTCGGGTCGACAATCAGAGCCTCGAGTCGATGGAGGCAGAAAACCGGCATCGGCGGACGCCGGCGAGCCCTCTAGAGTGCTGGGAACGTGAAGGCACGTGTTGAGCCCTAGAGCTAGCTTCGCCTTCCTCCATTTGCTTCCCATTCGTGTTCGATCTGAACTTTCTAGAGAGAGAGAACACACATTCAGATCTTATATTGATCTGAATCCAACGCAAGAACAGATCTCCAAATGCTCGTTCTTGGCTGCTCTCTCTCTAGCTCTGTACCGAACTATACATATGTGTATGTGTTTGTTAGAAAAACGGAGGCTAGAGAGGAAATAGAGAGAGACGGAAAAGTGTTACTATAAGGTTTCCAAGCGTTTGCTGAACTATACATAAATGTTAGCAACTTAGCATGTGTTTTGAGAGAGAGAGAGAGAGAGAGAGAGAGAGAGAGTAACAAGGCTCGAGAGGGAGACAAAACAGAGAGAGCCGAAGTATCTAGCGGTGGCACGAGGCTTTGAAGGGTGGAGGGGTATTAGTGGAAGAAAATTTATCCAAGGATATGTGCGACTAGAAGTAGAGCACACATCCAGTGGTGCTATTTTTAGAGACTTTGGGAACCATTTTAGTGAGTCCAATGCACTCGCTGAAAAGTGGGCTCAATTTATTCAGTCGCGGAATGGGCGTTAAAAACGACGATCGCGGGGCTACCTTGCGAGCTGTTCTATTTTATTTTTTATTTTTTATTTTTTTGTTTTTAGTCCAAATCCCTGTAGTCCTTAGTCGAGAATTGGGTTTAGGGCATGTTTGAGTGGGAAAAAAAAAAAAAAAAAAATCTAGAAATCAGTTTTTTGGTTTTTTTTTTTTTTTTTTCCCTCAACACAACTTAACCAAAAGTTATTAAGGCACTATTTGGCTGACACAAACAGTGCATTTATGACTTTTTTTTGGTAAAAAATTTTTTTAAAAAAAAAAGAAAGAGAAAAGTACATTATATATATATATATATATATATATATATATTTATGAGTAATGATACTTGTACTGATTTGTTGAAGTAAATTACCTAATCAAATGTTAATGATTAATTATTTATGCACAATACATGCATGTGAATGGCCCACTTCTTTATTTATGAATAAATGTATCAATTAAAAAAAATAAGTTTGACAATTCACTACAACAAATCGCATAAATAAAGAAGTGGGGCCCTTTACTTACATTTATTGTGCATAAATAATTAATCAGAAACATTCGGTTAGGTAATTCACTGCAACAAATCGGTGCAAATATCATTACTCTATTATATATGATTGTGCCATATAATTGTTCTTTTTTTTAAATAAAAAAAAAAGAGGAGAAAAGTGTCGTAGTTTATTTTAATAATAGTATTGTATTGTTTATTTTAAAAAAAAAAAAAAAAATTATAACCTATTATATTGTTTTAATTTTTCTAATCCATAATAAATATAGTATTGTTTAATTTTTTTTATTTTATAATATAGCCATTAGATATAACCGTTAAGAAAAAGTTAAATATATATATATATATATATATTAAAATATTAATATTTTTGGAAAGCGAAAATGTACCATTGGAGTACATGCTATAACTAAAATTTGGAGACTTCAAAACGCAGACATGGCTCTTGGAAAACACTCGCTCTAAGATCAAGAAGTGCTCGATCTATCACATTATTTTTAATGATGCATGAAATGGTAGGAGCACCAGGATCTTCGAACTTAGGAGGAGTGTTGTGCTGAATGATTGTACTAACTTGCTCAGTGAGATAGATTTTCTTAGAGATTTGGCTTTTTGATTTTCTCTTTTGAGTGCACAAGTCTTTCAGAAATTTGGCATCGGCTGGGATTTGCTTGATAGCTTCAAGGAGATGAATATTGACTTTAACCTATTGGAAGACTTCCATTATGTCATGAATTTTCTCCCTTTACTTACCAAAGTAGACATTGAGGAAAAGGCACTCTTGGCTCATAAACTGTCTCAAGGTTGGGAGTAGATGAAGAAGTGACTTTACCTTCAACTACTTTGGAGCTCGATGGAATGATATTTTAGGGAACATCTGTGGGATGTGGATTTGGAATGATGGGAATCCCACGCCTATCTCTGTTTTCCCTTTGTTCTTCAACTTGATTATCAATGGCTTTTCCACTCCTCAAAGTGGTGATGGCCTGAACTTACTCATAATGACTGCTTGAAGGATTAGTGTCATCAATCATGTAAGTTTGCCTTTTTGGGTTGGCCACTGGTTGACTAGGCAGCTTTCTTTCCTCTCTACGAGATAGATTACTCGCAATTTGCCCAACTCGAGCCTCTAGCTTGGCTATGGCTTGAGAATGAGTATGAAGAAGTTAGGTATTTGCTTGAACTTTAACAAGAGTACTTAATACTTGATCTTTAAAAGCAGACAAATACTTAGGAGGAGGAGAAAGAGGAGCTAGATTAGCTTGATTCCTAAGTTGTGGTGGACGATAGATGGAAGATTGATTGAAAGAAGTATTTTGGAGCGAATGATTAGATGAATTTTGGTACTATCCTTAAGATTGGGGAATAGTTGTACCTTGGCTCTGATTCCACCATAATAGATTTGGATGATCTCTCCAACCAGGGTTATAGGTATTGGAATATGGATTATACCTTTAACCAAAGAATCCAACATTAACCTGCTCTTGCAGATTTTCAAAAGATTGCCCATGAAAGGACAACTATCCGAAAGATGCAATAGATTAGTGCAGACAAAACACACCTCCTTTGGCAAAGAGGAGTGCTGAATAGAACTAAGAGCAGTGACGGCTGATAAAACTTGGTCAAACTTGTGGTTCAATACTTCTATTTGAGTGGCTAGCTCCCTAGATTTCTCAACCTCATAAAGATTTTCAACCTTGTGGATACCAGGAGTAAACCTAGACCTAGAGGAAGAAGTATGTTGTACAGAATTTTCACTTATGGTCTCAAACAGTTCCCAAGCGTCAGTTGCACTCTTATGAAGGAAAGCTCCATTACTAGACACATTAACCATGTTCCTATATGGATCAGATAATCCATCATAGAAGATTTGTACTAAGTGCCATTTAACAATATCATGGTGTGGACATTTCCTCAGCAGATTATTATATCTTTCCCATGAATCATGGAGTTGTTCGCCGAGGATTTGGGAGAACGCCATGATCTCTCTTCTCATTTGTGTGGTTTTATCCACAATATAGTACTTTTTCAAGAATTCCTGTTGCAACATGTCCCATGTAGTTATGGAATTAGTTAGTAGGGTATGAAACCAGGTTCTTGCTTTGTCCTTGAGAGAGACTGAAAAAGTCGTATCCTGAATGCATCATCTGAAAGAGTGGACAACTTGGTAGTTGAACACAATTCCAGAAACACATCAAAGTGCTTATAAGGATCTTCTGTTGCAAACCCATGAAATGTAGGAAGCATTTGGATCATAGCAGGCGTGATCTCAAAGTTGGTAGCATCAGACTATGGAAATTGAAAGCACGAAGGGGATGTATATGATGTGGGAATGTAATGATCCCTCATTTGTGGGGGAGCAAGTACAGGTGGCACATGAGCTCCCATTGGTGCATTAGTATCATCAACCATGTTTGTCCTAGAGGATTCTCTTAACAATTTAGAATTCTTTTTAGGTTTTCTATATCGCCTAAGATTTTTCTCTAATTTAGGATCGTATTCAAGTGTTGGTTCTGACAAAGAACATCAGCCTAACATGCATTATGTCTAATTGCACAAGCAGTAACAAAAAGAAAATTTTCAAGTAAAGAAAAAAACAAGAACTCACAAAAGGTCTTGAAACCGAAGCTTATGTTCCTTAGGCATCTTTGTCCTCGCTACTAGATTCCTGCACTTAAAAAGAAAAAGAAATAAGTTGAGATATCAAAAAGTCCAAAGCCTTATAAATCAAAAGGATGATGAGAGGTTGGCTACTGTTGAGGTCCAATTTACGAAGCATTGTCTTCGGCCTGTTCAATAAAACTAATTGTAAACTCAATAAACTGTTACACATTCTCCGACAACGGCACCAAAAATTGATATGTGTTAATTTTACCACTCGCAATAGCACAAATCTTTGTAGGAAAGGACTATATTAAAGGTGTCGAACCACAAAGACTGTCGTAGTTTATTAAGCATTCAATTAATATGATTTTGATTCAGATAGAAAAGATTATTTGATTTACTTGTTTGTCACGAATATAAAATAAATTTAAACTAAAATAAAAGATAAGATCAAGGAGAGAAAATCTTAGGGATTGACTTCACCACGAACCTCGTACTATGGTCAACTGTTCAACCTTGGAATTTCAATAATTATGTATCATATAGAATTAAACTCAATAACATTCATTTAATTCAGATATAAAGAGAGATGATTCATGAATTTCAACTAACTATAACCTATCTTCGGTTGGCACGAATTATCTACTTACCTACTTCTAACTAATGTTGTAGTATAACTCGTCTTCCCTAGGTATAGACTATGAAAACATTCATTCATGAAAAACGTTTAAACACTATTGCATGATCCCTATTCTTATTGTCGAGAAGCCTTTATGCCGCCAATCACGTACACTAAGAATAGGTTGATTATAATTTAAGAATAATTAAATTTAAGACAAGGTATTAATCATTCAAAAACCATTATTTCATTAAAATACCAATTGATCTAAGTCAATTGCTAATAATCATGCAATCAAAATACATAACAATTAAATTCCCAAAATTAGAACAATCAAACCATAGTATTTGGATTCGGGTTACATTAATGCCCTAAGAGAGGAATTAGCTACTCTGTGTTGTTATGGTCTTCATCATCATAGAGTGCACTTCTCTTCTGAGGATCTTTGTAATACCCCTAAAATTAAAAAGGATATAATTGAGATTTTACTATTTATTTTAAGTGTTTTATGTGTTTAGGTTTAATTGATTAAATTATTTGTTCGTTCTTTTTTTTGATTTAATTGTTTAGTCTTTAATTAATTTAATTGTCATTTAGGTTGTTTTGAATTGTTTTGTTGGTTAATTATTTTATGTAATTTAATTGTGGCTTTAATTAATTGGTTAATTATTATTTTATTTAATTTAATTAAATAGGTTAGATTATTAGGGTTTTGTCTCTTTACTGTCACGTTTGAATAAAGCCGCCTTGTTTAATTAAGCCGTCTTAGAGATGTAAGGAATTGTTGATTTCCGTCTCTACAATTAAAGTAGAATTAGGGTTAATATCTTTTCCTAAGCTTATAAACAAAATAATAAGGGTCTGCTTAGGGTTGTAAGCACAAACCTTATTCACGAATAGTGAAAATACAAAGAGTGAAACAGAGAGTTTAAGGGAAACACTGAAGGAGAGGAAGGTAAGGTTTGAGCCAAAGATTGTAAGCCAGACTAAGGAGGAAGCTTGAGGGCTGTTTGAGGGTTAGAACCAGAGCAGAGGAATCCTGGACGGCAATCACGATCGCCAAAAAGTCTAGGAAGAAGACGACATTGAAAGGTTTCAAACCGAAACCGAAAGGCAAGTTCTTTTCTTCCTCCTTCCCTTTGGCTTGTGTTCTGTGCACCTAGATAGTCTCTAGGGTTTAATTAATCAGGAACTGGAATTTACATGGTTAATATATG